TCCAATGGAAGTGGACACCCTCACAAATTTGACTGAGCTTGGGGAACACCACTTGAATGAAGGCAATTACACAGCCTCACGCAGGACATATCCTGAACAGAGAGAATCTCGGTCAGCCCACAGCAAAACCCCAAAACAAAGCCAAGCCTCAGCCAAATGGTTAACACTTTCTTCAGGATCTGGGCTGGCAGGCCATTGTCTTTGCTGCCCGTATGTGGACTTGAGAGGGCAAAGGAGTCCCACTGGGCCTGAATTGAGTAAGGGAACTCTCAGGCCGGTATCCAGGAGAGTGCACACTCTGGAAAGTCCACCCACAGCTGGTCTGGAACAGTTAAATTGATCAGCAACATCCAAATCAGAACCAATCAAAATAAACGTCTGGTTAAATGGTCACTCGGTTCTAATGGAGGGTGATACTGGCGCAGCTATAACAGTGATCACAGAATCAGTCTTTAACAAAATTCACTCTGGACTCCAACCCTTACGTTTGTGCAAGACCTCAGCCAGACTGAGAACCCATACCAGGGAACCTTTACAGGTTAAGGGTACAACTTCAGTTCCGGTCTCCCTTGAGAAGCAGCTGGTTCAGTTAACAGTGATTGTAGTGAAAGGCTCAGGCCCAAGCCTGATGGGGTGAATTTGGTTGAGAAAGATTCGCCAAGATCAGCTCAACATTTTTTCAGTAGGAAACGGCTGCCTGAGTGAAGTCCTAATTCAATATTCAGAAGCTTTTCAGGAAGGTCTAGGGACTATCAAAGGAGCCAAGGCCACATTGCATGTTGACCAGGAAGCAATTCCGTGATTCTGCAAGGCCCACCCAGTGCTATTTGCATTACGGGTAAAGGTAGAGGCAGAAATCAGGAGGCTGGCAAGCAATGGAATCATCAAACCAGAACAGTTTGTGAAGTCCAACTGGTCTGTTCGCCTTTGTAAAGGTTTTAAACAAACAGAAAACTGATCGTCACAGTTGGTTAAATATCTAATCCCTTGCATGGAGGATTTATATGCAAATCTGGCAGGGACTGTCCTTCACAAAGCTGGACATGAGCTATGCGTACCTGCAATTGTAGTTAGAGGAGGATTCCCAGAAATATGCTACAATTAGTATCCATAAAGGTTTGTACCATTTAGATGAGACTGCCATTTGGGGTATCATCAGCCTGTGCTATTTTTCAGTGGACAATGGAGAACACTATACAAGGCCTACCCCAGTTCGCCATTTTTCCCGAATGATATGTTAATAACAATAAGGAGCACTTAGAACTTGGACATAGTCATTGGACATTTCTTCTAGGCTACAGAGCTGACAAGACTGGGTTACAAGTGTTGGAAGAAAAAGTGCCCCAGTCCCAAGTCTAAACAGATAACTAAGTCCTTCCTTAGGTTGGTGAACTATTACAGAAAGTTTATACATAATCTGGCCTCCATCTTGGCACCCTTACATTTGTTATTGAGAAAGGGTCAGCTTTGGGAAGAGTCTCATAGCCAAGACATAGCCTTTAGGGAAGTGAAGAAGCAGCTATCATTGTCCAAGGTGTTGGCACACTACAATCTCAAGTGAGATCTAGTGCTGACATGTGATGCCTCCCCATATGGTATCGGGGTAGTGTTGGCTCTCAGATGGCCCAATGGAGAGGAACGCCCAACAGCGTATGCTTCCCAGACTTTAGCTGATGCAGAATGCAAATACACCCAGATGGAGAAGGAAGGTTTAGCAGTCATCTTTGGTGTGAGAAAGTTCCACTAAAAATTTTTTAATAGTAATGGACCACAAACCCCTGCTCGGGCTACTCAAAGAGGCCAAGGCCAAGGCCATGCTACCCATAGCTTCAGGTCGAATTCAGCAGTGGGGTCTCATTGTAAATGCGTACAATTACAAGTTGGAACACCCATCCAGGAGGCCAAATAACAAATGCGGATGCATTGAGCCACCTCCTGCTATCAGTACACCACCAGTGGTACTGCCACTGGAAGAGTCTGTAATGGTTTTAAATTTTCTGCACACACTTCCAGTCACAGCTGACAATATCAGACTTTGGACGCAGAAAGATATGGTCCTGGCAAAATTAAAATAGCTGGAGGTGATGGGAGAAACGAAAAGGGCCATCACAACCGGAATTGAGACCATTCTGGACCTGGTGAGACCAGATCACAGTAGAGGGTGGCACATGTTTATGGGGAACAAGTGATTGCAATCTTTACTCGGGACAGTCAGATACTGGCCAAACTCCATCAGGGTCATCCAAAAATGAAGATGTTTGTGAAAAGTTGTGTCTGGTGGCCAGGACTGAATGCAGACACCCCCACATTGGTGGGGCAGTGCCCAGAGTGCTAACAAGGACAAAAATTACTGCCAGCAGCTTGATGAAGCTGTGCTGGCTCAGCCCTATTTTACTATGCACTTTCAAGTACTCTGCAATCTCATCCTTACTAAAGGACTCTAATATCTGACTACCTACCCAGGTCAGGCTAACCAGTCTATAATTTGCTGTCTTCTGTCCCCCTCCCTTCTTATACAGGATGTTACATTCACCATTTTCCAGTCCTCTGGCACCCTCCCTGACTCTAGTTATTCCTGAAAGATCACCACCAATGCATCCACAATTTCTTCAGTTATCTCCTTCGGAACTGTGGCATGTACTGCATCAGGTCCAGGTGATTTATCCACCTTCAGATCTTTCAGCGTCCGAAGTACCTTCTCCTTAGTGAATGGCCACAACACTCACCTCTGCCCGATTGAAGTTCTGGTAAGCTGCTGGTGTTTCCCACTGTAAAAACTCTGCATAGAATCCATACAGAGTGGAAACAGGCCATTCAGCCCAACAAGTCCACACTGACCCTCAGAG